GTTCCAATTTAGGCAATTTAGTCTGTACTTGTGTGTTATGCGCATCACATAGTAATCCTAGCTAATAACCGGAATAAGAGCACATGTGTTTTCAAAAACAAGATATCATGCTTAGTACAAGCCGATCTTCGGATCGGGCGAGCGGGGGTGCTCATAGTTGGCCTTCCCCAATCGTACCCAAGTTCTCGAGCTGAGGCAACTTTGGTGATGACGGATACGTGGCCTTAGGCACGAGTCAGGGTTTCCTAAATTCCCCCAAAATAAAATACTTAGGTGGCGACTCTGTATCTGGCAAAGCAGTCTATGTTTAACACTTCTTTCTTAAAAATCTATTTTCCAAAATGATTTGTCGAATTTGGACTCTTTGGTGATTTATCAGTCTCGCATTGCATATTGCGAGATCAGATTAAGAACCGTGACATTGAGTCCGAACTGTAGTAAGCCCAATGAACAAAACGGGATTCCCTCTCGGGACGTTCGGGGCGCGTCCACAATGAGCATAGACAGGAGGTTGGCCATATAAGCGCTCATATGGGGTATGATTGTTGATGGTAGGAGAAGGAACACAGTTGACAGTATAGGTAGCTGCGAGAGCAGCTTTCCCCCAGAAGCTCTCAGGATAAGAAAAGGAAATTAAAAGAGCACGAACATTATCTAAAAGATGATGATGTTTACGCTCAGTACGACCATTTTGTTGGGAGGTACCAGGCCAAGAATAGTGAGAAAGTGTGCCATTTTGATGAAGGAATCTCAAAAATTTTGTTTCTTTGTATTCATGGGCATTATCAGCACTAAAAACTTTGATAGTGGAAGAAAACTGAGTTTTGATCATTTGTGAGAAATCATAGTATATTTGTGGTAACTCAGAGCGAGACTTCATAAGAAATAACTAAGTAAAACGAGTGAAATCATCTACAAAAATGACAAAGTATTTAGATCCCCCCATAGTGATATTAGGTGTTGGTCCCCAAACATCAGAGTGTATAAGATCAAAAGGTGCATGAGACATAGAGGTACTAGATGGAAATGGTAAAGTAGATTGTTTTTCTAGTTGACAAGATAGACAATCTACTTTATCATTTGGAACAGGACCTAACTAACCACTGGAAACTAGAGATCGTAAATGACCAAAGGAAACATGACCTAACCCAGAATGCCAAAAGGCAAGAGGAGTAATAGGAGCAGCAGCCTGGACAGTGGAAGGACTGGAAGAGGGAATGCAAAGGTGAATGAGTTCATACAGACGGCTATGTCTACGACCAATCCCAAGAGTCTGTCCCGTCTTCAGATCTTGTACAACACAACCAGTTGGAGAAAAGAGAACAGTGAGGCCAAGATCACAGAGTTGACCAATTGAAATAAGATTAAGTGTAAGATTGGGGATCAGATAAGTGTGGAGTAGAGAAACAATAGAGGTGGAAATATGACCTATATAACTAACATGCATTGGAGAGCCATCAGCAATGTGAATAACAGGTAACGTAGAAGAAGATGTAATAGAGGAGAAAAGTGTAGGGTTAGAGGTCATATTGTTGCAACAAGCGGAATCAAAATACCAAGAAGAGGTACCTGGAGTAATTGAGAAGACAGTAAAGGGTGTACCAGAGGTAGAAATAACCTTTTGACAATAGCTTCAATGTCCTAAAGAATGTAGGGTGGTGACGGGGTAACAACGGATGATGAACCAGAGGCAACTGTAGTAGATGCAAGATGTGCTGAAGACTGTTCTCAGCTGTATATTGTGGAGGGTCCAAAATAGTGACCGTGCTGAGGATAACTGTCTGAACGAGCCATGAGGTGATTAAATAATAAATCACAAAGGAGAACCAGTGATGGCGAAGTAAAACTAGATCAAACAGAGTGCACCAGTGAATCCGGAACATTGAAAATAGTTGGAAACCAGGCCAAAATGATCAGAAAAGGTGCAAAAAAAAAAGGCAAAACAAGCCAAAAATTGAATTTTGGCCAAACAGGGTGTAGGGCTGACGTCAGCAAGAGGGAAGCTGATGTCAGCAGAGGCGCGGCTCACGTTAGCACGGCTGAGGCGCGACGCACAATAGCAGAAAGGACGCACGGCGCACAAAAGCAGATTGGTGCACGTGCGCACACAATAGCAAAACGGTGTACGCGCGGCGCACAGCAATAGGAACGGCGTGCGTGGGCACAAGGCTGACATCAAGTGATGACATCAGCAAGCAACTGAATGGCGCGTGAGGGCGCGTATGAGAGTGGTGGCAAAAGACGGAGATGCACCAAGCACAAAATTGGCGCGTGAGGGCACGTTGATGAATTTCTGGTGACGTGGTCGGTGCCGTTCGAACCGTAAGGAGATTCCAATCAGTTTGGTGGTAAGGGAAAAAAAAATTTTGTGTAAATAATGATGAAGTAGTGCTGGAACAGAGATAATAAAGTGTATGGGTGATGGAATGAATACTGTAGTGCCACTGTGTACAGGACTAAGCACAAAGACAAAAGAAAAGGGCTATAAGTGTAGAACTTAGAGCTCTAATACCATATTAGAATGGTTGATAGAAAAAGGAAAATTGTGTATCTGTATTATATTGAATTGAATGAATGAATACAATAGAAGAAGCCTGTATATATAGACTGAAAAGAAACCTAAATAAGTATAGAAGAAGATAGAGATACAAGGAGATAGAGATAAAGATACGAGGAGATAGAGATAAGTATAATATAATAATATACATTAACACACCCAAATGGAATCCCTTTAAATCCAACATTGCATATCTGCTTTTCAAGATTAAACGGATCTTCTACGACGTAGCCACAGCCAACGATGAAAACATTCCAGTAACATATCGCTTCGGAGTGAGCATTGAAGCTTGTGACGTGTTGGCTGTGAGAAGCACTTACGAGTTCAAACCCGAATGGTTAAAACTTCTTCAACAGATTCACCAGAAACCAATTATACCAGTTGGCCAACTGCCTACCACTGCCTATGATAGTTGTGACAATAATGAAGCTTGGATAGCCATGAAAGAGTGGCTCGACGGGCAATCTAAGAGGTTCGAGGTTTATGTTGCATTCAGGAGCGAGGCAGAGCCAAGTCAAGCCGAACTTACTGAGATAGCTCTCGGGTTAGAGCTATCTGAGTTACCATTTTTTTGGGTTTTGAGGATTTTGCGCGGTGTGTCTGATAGTGAGGTGACCTAGTTGCCAGATGGGTTTGAGGAAAGAACGAAGGGACAAGGGGTGGTTTGCACCAGTTGGGCCCCTCAACTCAAGATACTTAGTCATGACTCAGTGGATGGATTCTTGTCTCACTCTGGGTGGAGTTCTGTGGTTAAGGCTATACAGTTCGGGAAGTCCCTCATTTTGTTGTCTTTCTTGGCGGAGACAGGGTTGAACTGTAGGGTTTTGAAAGAGAAGAAGATGGCATACTTGATACCGAGAGACGAGCAGGATGGGTCGCTCACGAGAGACTCAGTGGGTGAGTAACTGAGATTAGTAATGGTTGAGGAAGAAGGAAGAATATACAGGGACAAGGTTAAAGAGATGAGTGAATTGTTTGTTGACAGGGCCATACAAGATAAATACGTGGATAATTTGATTGATTTCCTCAAGAAGCATAGACAGCGAGCTCAGGAAGAAAACTGAATAAGCAATCAGAGAAAATATTTTAAAAATTATTCCAAAAAATGAGATGTATATACTAAATTTATTTTTGATGTGATTCCTATTAAATTTACATTTATAATACACATTTCATTTTAAATATATTTTATAAAATATGTTTTCAATTTGAACATAAAGAACGGAAGTGGGTTACTGGGTATACATATGTGATTAACCTCGTCATTCTATTGCTTGTTTTCAGTTTCTGGATTGCTGCTTCTTGGTCCGGTCTGTATTGCTATTGTTCTGTATAATATTATGTTTGGTCAATTGAACCTTCTCCGGAGAAAGTTTTAATTTCCAAGATCTCTTGTGGCACGGAAAGATATTATTATGTTTTCACTCAACTGAGATATAGTTTCTCAGGAAACATGTTAGCAGTGGCAAGAATTTGAAAAACAGACTTTGTATTGTGTTGTATGGATGACATACAGTAACAAGAGTGCTAGTATTAGGATTCTCAAGAATTTAAGGTTGTATTTGACTTTGGATTTGAGTAGTGATTTGTGGATGGAACATAAAAAGAAAGGGCAATTAAAGTAACAAAAATATAAGCTAAATTTTTTCACTTTTACCTTCCCTTCTCATTTTACTCTACAAATCTTTACTTAAGCCTGTAATTCAAACACAGTTAGTAGGGATTGTGACAATTGGATCCTGTGGAGAATAATTTGTTATGTCCATTTTTGTTTCTAGGCCTCTCAAGTTCAACTAGCAGTTCTGGTCAATCAACATCATGATGCAAGAAACGGTGATGGAATGATCGCTCACAACAAAAGATTACAAACAAAAATAGGAGATATCCTCACACAACAAGAAAACATAAAATAAGAAACACAATTTAAAAGACCTAATAATTCTGGAATAATCTATACTAAAATAAAATATTCCTAACCAACTGTTAGTTTGAAAATAAAAATATAATGTTCTTAAAATCTTGTCTGTGTCAAATTCTCAAATCATGGGCCCTAAAGCTAGGTTGCGTCATTCAAAAACTCATTTCTAAATGGCTCAATTATTCGTAATTATTTGATTGATCAACACCTGCATCATGAGTTTATGCCTGTCTTTTATCAGATTTGAAGACAGTGGTGGCCCCATAATAGAACGATTAGATTGCGCTATTGTTGCTTATTGTTAGTTTACTTCTATTGCACAAAATTGTCAGACAGTAATCATCTAAATAATCTTGCTCTTTTTTCTTCTTTTTTTTCTTTTAAATTCCTGTTCATTGAACCCAATACAGAAGGAAATATGCAACAGAACAGAATTTGTTCTATCCCAGTAAATTTTTGCATCATTGGATACTAAATGAAACTTTATAGTCACATATTCTGTATATTACAAAAGAAGATAATGAATGCACAGAAACACAACTTATGCCTTCAAATCCTTGAAATAGATATGTTTGTCATAATGGGATAATGGGAAAAGAATTTGAAGGATCCTTGGACCTCAGTCTTTTAGAACCAAGGATAAGAAGCCTATGAGTTGGGTTTTTTTCTGAGTTTTCTCTCTTCATAAAGCCAAACCAGAATCATGAGAGATGTGAATGATTTTCTCAACTATATCAGGGAATTATTTGAAGTTCAAAGCTTCAATGGGCCTCCCCAACATCGTTAACATTGTTGCACAGATATGTCTGGCAGAGAGCCCTGCTTCTTCAATCTGATCTTGGGGTGATCCATGGTCAATGTATCTATCAGGAAGTACCATTGATCTCAACTGCAAGACAATTAGAATTAAAATCCAGGGAAAAAAAACAGTAGAAAAATAAATGTCTTTTGGTCAAGGACAATTACCTTTAGGGGTCCATCCAAAATGCCATTTAAGCTTAGAAAGTGAGACACATGAGATCCGAAACCTCCAATGGAACCTTCCTCCACGGTGATTAAGAATTCGTGCTCATTGGCCAATCTCTTGATAAGATCCGCGTCTAATGGTTTGCAGAATCTTGCATCGGCTACTGTCACAGAGATGTTTTGTGATTTGAGCAAGCCTGCGGCTTCCACACATCGTTGAACCATTGACCCATAACCCAAAATAGCAACTCTATTGCCTTCCATCAATATTCTTCCCTTTCCAATCTATTCAATTACCAAGGGGAAAAAAACAAAATAAATAAACAAAAATTAGTTACTGCTTTCGATTTCTTTGCTTAGACAGTTTTGAAGTTGGTTAGTTCAAATGCTAACCTCAATTGGTATTCCCTTGTTATTGGGAGGGAGGACTGCACCAATTCCATTGCCCCTTGGGAACCTGAAACAGCTAGGTCGGTCATCAATGGCTACTGCTGTGGCAACCATGTTCATTAGCTCTGCTTCGTCTGATGGAGCCATGACCACCATGTTAGGCAAACAAGCCATGTACGCGATATCAAATGCTCCGCAGTGTGTGGGTCCATCCGCACCTACCAACCCAGCTCGATCCATTGCAAAGCGGACGGGTAGTTTCTGAAGATCTACATCATGCACCACCTTCATATCCATTTGTAAATCTTTAGTGTGATGAACAAAAGCAGAAGTAAAATCTATGTAGCATGGCCTTAGGCTCACCTGATCATAGCCTCGCTGCAGGAACGATGAATAGATAGCACAGAATGGCTTCAGACCCTCTGTGGCTAAACCGGCTGCGAATGTAACAGCGTGTTGCTCTGCAATTCCCACATCAAAACATCGCCTTGGAAACTTCTTCTGGAAGTAATTGAGGCCAGTCCCACCGCCCATCGCAGCATGGATGGCTACAATCTTGCTATCTGCCTCGGCTTCTTTTATTAGGGATTCAGCAAAGTATTGGGTATATGAAAGTGTAGAGGATTTGGGCTTAAATTGCTGTCCTGTTTTTGGATCAAACTTGACAACCCCTAAAAGAGTTTCGGATGATAAGAATCTTCTTATGTAATATTACGACACAATTAGACTACGGAGTAGTTCTATTACCATGCATTTTGTCAGCTGCCAACTCAGCTGGCCGATAGCCCTTCCCTTTCTCTGTTATAATGTGTATAAGAACTGGACCTGGTGCGGGCGTTGCTTTTACTTTCTGGAAAATAGTGACCAAATCTTCTACATTGTGCCCATCCACTGGACCAATGTAATACAACCCGAGCTCTTCGAAGAGAGTAGAACCAGAAGCACTAAGCATACCCCTTGCGTACGCGTCTACTTTGGCTGCAACTTCATGTGCTTGAGGTCCAATTTGCTTTGTGATACCCTTTCAAGAGATAAAACCCAAATCAGAAAGACGAAGCATAACAGAAAGGCAGTGACATGACATGAAAAACCTTAAGAGGTCATATATGCATACTTTTGCTGTTTGGCGGAGTTTGCGGAATTTGGGGCTAGCTTGGAGCTTGGCTAAAGTAGTGCTGAGGGCTCCAACAGGAGTTGCAGGGCCATCAAGAGTAGCAGTGGGTAAAGAGACTTGCTTATTGTCATTTAATATGACAATCAGGTTAGCATCAAGGTACCCTGCATTGTTCATGGCTTCATATGCTTGTCCTGCTGTCATTGCTCCATCTCCAATCACAGAAATAACATTATTCTTCTTCCCTAAAAGATTTCTAGCAACTGCCATACCTACAAAAGCAAAACAAAACAAAAAAATTGATTTGATTATTTGAGAGTTCCCTTGTGGAATTACATTTATAGTTTTTTTTTGGTAGTGAGAAGTGAAAAAACATACCAAGACCAGCAGAGATGCTTGTGGAACTATGGCCAGCACCAAAAGCATCATAAATGCTTTCATCCCTTTTAGGAAACCCAGCTAGCCCTGAAGTTTTCCTAATGGTGTGCATCCTAGACCTCCTCCCTGTCAAAATTTTATGTGGGTATGCCTGCCATATTTTTGTTCTTCTGATCAGAATTCATCTTGAACACATTGAAAGAGAATGCAACAACAGACTAACAAAAGTACCACAAATTTAATTCTAAAATGTGTGTTAGAGCAATTCCAATGATATGCCAAATCCATGAGCCAAGGCTATTTTTAGCTATAGCATCCTAGAATACACGCTCCAATGGTTTGGCAAATGTTAAGTCAAAAATTGGTTTGGCACAAGATTTGGTTTTGCCAAATTTGTCACATCAGCAAAAGAGTAATCTTGATTACTAAATGCTTTTGTGAAATCGTTCCAATGGTCAAAAATTGATATGGGAGTTGACTGTATCAAAATAACATAATACCATGGGAGTGATATAGCTAAAAAATGACTTCTGTACGTAGTGTAGCAAGCCATAATATGGCTTTGGAAAAATCATTTTTATTTTTATCATTAAAGTTGCTCTTTAATGTGTTATGTGACAAAAGGTGATAAAAATAGTGTGTTAAGATTTGCTAACGTGACAATAAAAATGTTAAAATATTAGATTACAAAATCTTCAATCTATTTTTTAAGAGTAAAAATGAAGAGGCATCTCTCCCAAAATTAAAAATGAAACATAAAAAAATCTGAGCCAGCCCTTCCTGACCATGTCAGGCTTCCCTTCCCTCCCCTTCGCTTTTCTGTCCTCTCTCTCTCTCTCTCAACCCATTACAGTTAACAACAAACTTACATATAACAGTTTGTCTGCAAAATTGGAGCTTAACAGCTGCAATGAAGCACGGAAATTGAGAAAAATTATGTTTAATTTTCTTAAGAGAATCCACTATGCATGCTCTTCATTTGGCAAAATCAAAAAGTCAGCTTCTTTATTAACTTTTTTTTTTTTTTAAATTTTATTTTTGGATTTTTTTTAACTTTGTCAAAAATATTTATCTTTTACATTCGTCTCAACTAAATGATTTTAAAAAGAAAATTTAAAAAAAAAAGAGTTAATTTTGAAAAAAAAATTTCACTGAAAATAAATTTAAATTTTTTTTTTTATCAAAAAGGCTTACAAATTGGGAAAAAAAAAAAAAAAAAAAAAAAAAAAACAACAACAACAACAACAACAACAACAACAACGACAACAACAACTCTCAAAAGTTAGTAATGCTACGATGATTAACCACCTTTACCATATGATATGTCAACCTAATTAGTGTTTTATTGGACACATATATGAGTGGTAAGACCCATTATACATATTTTATTGATAAATAAAATTATAAGTCTAATATGGTGTTAAAATCTAGTAAACGTAGCATTATTGAATTCATTTTAATGGAAATATAAGAAGACAAATTTATTTATAAAAGTACACAATGTGCAATGCATTTATAGTTGCATTCATGTACCTTTTTGGTAAAATAAAAAATAAAAAAACAAAAGAAATTATTGTATTTGTTTTGTAGCATGTTTGAGTTATTGTTAAGTTTTTGTTTGCAAAGTTGAGCTACTGACTGACCTGATGACCAACATCCCATATGACTTTGTCTTGAGGGGTGTCGAAAACATGGTGCAGAGCCACAGTTAACTCCACAACTCCTAAGCTAGCACTCAGATGCCCTCCTGTCTTTGATACACTGTGTACTATGTCTGCTCTAACCTCTGCTGCTAGTTGTTCAAGATCCTGCATCAACATCATATTCACCCAACCAAAATTAACCCAAAATAAACAGGTCAAATGCATGTTGTGCCGAGACTCTCTAGAAAATTCGATCACGCTAAAGTTGAGGGTACGTGGTTTTGCAAATTGATAACAATAGTTTGAAAAAACAAAAGACTATCACCCAACGTATCAAAGAATTACGTGATTCGACTGAACCTATATCCACCGACAATCTCACAAGTATTACTCTTCATTATCAAACAAAACAAGCGTTCAGAGAGTTATAAAGATGTATATCTGTCAATAAATAAGTTACTTCTCTATGGTATATCAAATTGAGAAATCAAACTTGCATTTATAATTCACTCAACAATTTTAACCGAAGATCTCATGAAAACATATTAGTGGTTATATCTTCAATTTATCAAATTTCTGGACATTATTTGTTCATTGCGCCGTACTTAATTGAAGAGAGGACACAAATTATTCATAATATTAATTTTTTTTTTCTCATAATAAACAATAATGAGATATTACTAAACGTAAATATTAACAGTTTATTTGAATAGATATGAATTTTAAATTAAAGGATTTTATGTTAAATTTTATACAAATATTGTGGAGTAACTATTTTAGGTGGATTGAAAAATTAAAAAAGAAGATAAGTTGAGATAGAAATGATATATTTTAGTAGAGAAATTCTATAAAGCACAACATTAAAAAAAAAAAAAATGTCTATCATTATCGCAGGTATGATCTTTGTGATATTTAGTTATCACACATTATAGTGTTGGATATAACTTAGTTATAACTTCTTTTGGTTGTTATTTTGGTTATGATTGAAGAGGTCTTTGATTGTGCATCAAGTAATGATTCGTAATGATTCATTCTGATATTAGTTATGACTTATTGAAATTTTTTTTTTTTTTTTTGTTATAATTGAAGATGTGTTGTTTGATCAGAATTTATATAATAGTCATTTTAGTTATGAATGAAAATAATTTGGTTATGAAAATTTATAATATCAATACCATAAAGTAATAACTAGTATATGGTACACCCTTTTTGGAGGTTTATAATAGAAGGACTTATTTTAGTAGGTTCATTGTAATTAGAAAGAAAATTTATAATAGAGGGACTATTATAATTTGAAGAAGGGATATTATTATAATTTTATAGAAGATATATATGATATAATTTATATATATAGGGGTACCAATATAATTATCAAAACTTGAGGGGCCCACGTGCCCCCCTGGACATACACTGCCTCTGCCCCTGGCTGCAATCGTTACATAACGTTGTTACGTAATGGTTGTGGTGGTCACCGCCACCCGTTACGGCCGTTATAGCGGTGTGATAGAAATTCACATGTGTAACGACTGTTTTGGTATTACGTAACGACTGTGGCAGTACCGTGACAGTCGTGATGGTCAGTTAGGCACCGTTATACCCTTTTACAATATACTAAATAGGTTCATTTTTCCCAAAAAAAATAAAAGTTTACAAAAAAAAAGGACAAATACTCAAGTGATGCAAGCTTAAAGAAAAAAATCTTATATGAATTTTTTTTTCTTTATAATTTTTTTTTTAAAAATTCATGGCACAAATTTTATTTTATAATCGTTTCATTTAATAATTATGAATATTTTTTATTCAGTTAGTTCAAGTGTTGGTAAAAAATAATTTGTAAACATTTAAAATCAATTATTCTTAAAATCATTAACTATTTAAATAAAATATAAAAAACTCTTTTTATACTGATTTGAAAATATAAAATATATTAGATCATACTTAAAAATTAACAAAAATTAATCAAAATTTATTTTAAACTCCAATAAATGTGATTCTGAAAGAAAAAATATACGTATCGACAATTTTTTTTCAAATTATGTAAAAAATAATAAAAAAAAATTATGATTTCAATTACTACAATCGTTACACTACGACCTTTACACCTCACAACTATTACCACATCAACACAATTGTTACAACGACTATAACGACTTTTCAAAACCTTAGTTAAAACTAATAAAGGCTAATAATAACCACACATAAGTCAATCATCCTATAACTTTACCAACAAATTAAGATCTTGTGACAAAAATAGTCGAATAAATGTATATAAGACATAAATATACAATATATATACATATATATATATATGCAGCTCTCCCGCCTTTCCTATTTCTATCTCACTTTCTCTTCTTGTTTTTGTCTCACTATCTCTTCTTTCATCTTTTTCGATCGTCGTGTCTGTCGCGCGATTTCAACAATCGCGGCGCCTGACCAACAGGCTATCCAATCCTGCCCTGATTGTCAATGATCATCTCGGCCTTCCTCCCTCTTTGTCTTTTTCTTCTTCTTCCTCGCTCTCTTCTTAGATTGAGGCCTGCGAGAGAGAAAGGCAGAGCAAAAGCTTGCAAACTTTCTCTGCCACCACTCTACAACCTCTTTCTTTTGCATTACTCTCATCTGTCATGGCCTCCTCATACGATTCTCTCACTCTTTTTCCAGACCTGAATGAGTCCACGATAGAGATGACCGATTTCGACTCCCCTAAACCTCAACCACTGTTCTTCCTCCTTCCCCTGTTTTTAGCTTTCCAGTGATGTCAGTTGAGCAAATAATGGTGGCACAGTCTGACATCGAAGAAAACTCCTATACGTTGGGGTCATGTGTAGAGATCGTGACTGCGGTCTCCAACTTGTCTCGTCGACTTCAGAACAGGATGTTTGATGAACATCAGTTCACTACACAACTCTCCCTACTCCAACGTATGTACAAGGACTCTCAAGTAGAAATTAGTGCACTGAAAAAACAGAACAAAGAACTGAAACGACAAGCCACCTCCGCGGCCCGATTCGGAGTTCCTTCGCATAACCAATTTGATGGCCAGAAAGGAATAATCTTCTTCGGAAGCTCTGCCAAGGCCGAGGCAGAGTCTCCAAGAGTTTTGAAGGAGTAAAGATAAAGTGAGGAAGTTGATGGTAAAGTCAGGCAACGAAGCTGTGTGCAAATGAAGTCGGTTGTAATCTTCACCGCCGAGTTGCTGCCGAAAAATTGAGAAAATGTTTCTCTCTCTCTGCTTTTTTTTTTCTTTTGTTGTTTTCTCCTTTTTTTTTTTTTTTTTTTTAGAGTGGTATTACATGCACCAATTAGTGTACCAACACTAGTTATGATCTCATGATTAACCCTACCATTATACAAATTACAAATACCAAAAATATCTTAAATTATGTCATGTCATCAATTAATACATTAGTTAGTGCATTAATTGATACATATGGGATTACTTTTTTTTTACCTTCTATAATAGTAAAGTGAATACTCATTTAATACATTCTTCTTGTAAAAAAAAAAAAATTTAATACATTCTTCACCAATGCTCTTAGGCTATTTGTTAACAAAACTCTTTAATTAATTTTAATTTTGTACCGGAAACAATAATTTTAGGAAATGATTATTTTAATTGTCTTTTTGACTTTTTAAGAAAAAAATGTATAAAAAAATAGAGATAGTGATGTGATTCAACATTTTGGTTTTTAAATATTTTAGCCAAAAAACTAACACCCCAAAGTAGCCTCTCTCTCTCTCTCTCTCTCTCTCTCCCTCCCTCTCTCTCTCTCTATATATATATATATATATTTACATTTCTTTACATAAAAAGTAAAAAAAAAAAGTTAAAAAAAAAAAAACTAAAATAGTCTCATCCCAAAATTAATGTTTCTGGTACAAAATTAAATTAAGTAAAAAGTTTTAAAAAAAATAACTAAAATAGTCTCATCCCAAAATTAATGTTTCTGGTTTAATGTTTCTGGCACAAAATTAAATTAATTAAAATATTAGAATTCAAAATCGCAAAAAATAATGTAAGGGTAAATTATACTTTGGTTCTTTATGTTTAGTTATTTTCTCATTTTAACCTTTAAAAATTGTTTTTTTTATTTTGACCTTTTATATTTCAATTTTTTTTTCAATTTACTCTTAAAGTTATTTTTTTTTTCAAAATTAAATAAAAAATGACATGCTAACGGCTACATAACATAAAAATTATATTTTTACATTAGAGTTTAGTTTTATGAGTTCTATATAATAAAATATTTTAAAATCACATGGCTGTTAATATGTTTTTTTTTTTTTATCTAATTTTGAACATAAAATTAACTTTTGGAATAAATTGGGAAAAACTTGAAATATAAAAAGTAAAGTAAAAAATATATATATAAAATAAAATTTTAAAAATCAAATAAAAAAAAAATAGTGAAAAGTATAATTTAGCCAAAATAGGTTTACTTTAGCTTATAGGGAAAAGTATAATCTTATCCGGCATCGGATTGATAATATTAGCCTATATGTTTTCACCTGAACAGAGAGATTCTTCATATGAAGTGGATAGTTGATTGTATCCAGCAATGGCGTCGGTGGCTTTTCTCCTGAGAAATCAATCTTCCAACCCTCTTTCTCTTTCTTTATCTTCATTTTCCCTTCTTCTCCATTAGCTTCTGAACCAGTGGCCAAAGCTCGCAAGTAGAGCTGAAAAACCCAAAACAACCACCAATACAATACACCATTTGATACTTAATAACTACATCATTAGAAATACCAAAATCATAATCTTTATACAACCCATAACAAGAACAGTAACAAAAACTAGATAGATAGATATAGTGAATTGCATTTGAAACTCAAAATGAAAATTTTATATATGCATTGACACTGACCTGTTTTCTGCAACTATGACTTCGTCTTGGAGTGGCCACGGCCGGGGATGGAGATGGTGATGGGTGTAGTAGAGATAGACTAATGACAGACCCGGCTGAGACCGCCATGGCTGATCAAGTATGGTGATTGAAGAAATGAAGAAATGAGAGAAGAGAGAGAGAGAAGAGAAGCCTGTGAGGGCTGTTGAGAGACACAGGGAACAGCGACAAAATTTATAATTGGTGCGGATGCAGCGCCTTACGTACGTTAATGCTGCCCCGGTGTCAAAATATTAATGTTTTTTGAGAAAATTAATTTTTTTGGTAATATAATTATTACACTTCATAAATATTAATTTTTCAAAATTATCATTTGGTAGTATAATTGTTTTTTTTTTTTTTGATAAGCAAAAGAGAGCTTTATTGATGAAGAAAGCAGAACAAGCATACAACTTACATCAATAAAGAGGGAAGTGCAAAAGCATCACCGCAGGCCTTAGCGATCCCAACTAGGTTGGCACCGCTAGGGACGCAAAATCATCTGCTAGCACTTGACCCAAGATTGGCGAGAAACCAATGCAAAGAAAAAAACAAGATCTACCACTAAACAAGAAACAACAATGAGCAAAAAACTTCAAGCTGATACAGCCCAAGCCAGAAGAATGAAGCACCAGGACCAAGCATTGAGCAGAATTCTTCAAACTGAAAGACAGATCAGACCAAACTGTAGATCAGACCAGCCAAACTGATAGCCAGCTGAAAGCCAAGGGGGCACACTAGAGCACACACCTATGTGCATCTGCAACAGCAAACAATAAAAGTCTACAAACTGATACGAACCCAGCCAGAAAATGATGCACCGGGACCAAACATTGAGCAAAATTCTTCAAACTGATAGACAGATCAGACCAAGCATCCATCAGACAGATCAGACCACACTAGAGCACACAGCTGTAGATCAGACCAGCCAAACTGATAGCCAGCTGAAAACCATGGGGGCACACTAGAGCACACACCTATGTGCATCTGCAACAGCAAACAAACATTGAGCAAAATTCTTCAAACTGATAGACAGATCAGACCAAGCAACCATCAGACAGATCAGACCAGCATCAGCCTTCCAAAAAAGCAGACCAACAATGTAATTCCAAGGGAGCACACTAGAGCACACAACTGCAGACTAGAGCACACAGCAAGCAACTGCAGACTAGAGCACGCAGACCAGCAAGCAACTGCAGACTAGACCAGCCAGACTCTTAGAGCACAGAGCAGAACACAGAAGCAAATCAGAACACAGAGCAGAACACAGAAGTCAAGTGCCCCAGAGGCAGAACACAGAAGCAGAATCAAAAATCATCAGAGGCAGAGCACTTGACAGAATCAAAAATCATCAGAGGCACCTCCTGGTCTGGTTGAAATTAAATATAAAATCATGGATGGAGTAAGAGCAAGAGTTCCCAATAGAGTGACTCTTCAACCAAATGGCAACTCGAATCTTGATGAGCTCACAAAGCTGCAGGGAGTTAGGTTGGGCACTATTAAACACACAGTCGTTCCTGAGCTTCCAAATTGACCATAAAACAGCAAGTGGTAAGGCTCTCCATATTTGGAGTTCCTTCTTTCTGATTTTGGTGCCACTCCACCAATCAAGTAAGGCCACCACAGAGCCCGGGCATACCCAGAGAAAACCCCACCAATCTATAATGTCAGACCAAATTTTCCAGGTAAAGGGGCAAAGGAGTAAAACATGGTTAAGGGACTCAGGTTCTTCTCTGCAAAAGTGACAATGAGTAACGGCCTAATATGAATGGTGCTTATATTCATACAAACTTAATTTCTTTTCACACCCATCACATGTATTAAAAAATTTATAATTTAGGCATAAATTTATCAGCAAACAAAAAAAAAAAAAAAGTGTACAAAAGAAATTAAATGTGTGTAATTAAATCAAAATATTTTGAAGATTCCTAATTTTTATCATGAATTTTATGTTTGAGAATAGTTATAAACTTATTGATGGTATGAAAAATATAGTTATGTAGAGATGGATATGGAATACTCCTCTGATCCAAACAAGCTTTTGGATAATCCTCTCTACTATCACCTGAAATAGAAATAAAGCTCCGGATGGTGGTACCAAAATTAGCACTCCGACAGATAAGTTAGTTTCTATAGAAAGGTTGGTGTTTTTTTTTTTAATTTCTTGAGGCTGAAGGTTTTTTGCACATATCTCCTTCTTTCGCTTCCCTGCTCGTTTTATATTGCTATTCTTCTTGATCTTCTCTTCACGTAACCTAGCCCTCCATCATTACTTTGTTAGGATCCATCTCCCTATCATATTGTTATTAAAATACTTTATGAAAAGAAAGGACAATTCGAATTCGTCTAACCTGGTGGACTCGACTTTCCAGATACACTCGGCTCCATCTTACGGCTCTGATACCCTTTATTTGGTATACTCTCCAAATTACTGTGTACGGCAATGGTCCAACGTCCGATGGGCTTGGGCTTTATTTGGCCCATTTGAGATGGGCTTGGGTATGCTCTGTTTGTCATTCTTGGTAATCATCTTCTCGCCCCCACAATAGTAATATAATAAGAAGTAAGTTTTAAATTTTTTTAAAGAAAATAAAAATCAATGGGAGAGAATTAGGTTGGAAAAATATTGAATAGTTTTTTTTATCTTTCTTTTTGAAAAATATTATTTGAATGGATTAGCCAAACTACTTTTTAAATTTATTTTTTAATTCAATAAATCCATAAATTTATTATCAAATTTTTGAGCTCTCACAATGCTCTTTACGAGAATCCCCTTTTGCTTATATAATATATAGATAGATAGCTGTTTAATACTTATATATAAATTAATTCAAATTAATTTTTAATAACCCATTTGGTCCTGCATCTATCCAAAAGATTAAAAAAAAAATTTAATTTTTTACAAAAAGATGTACAAAAAAGTAGAGTGATGTGATTATTTAGAAAAGGTCAAACAAACAAATTTTAAATTTAGCACAAAAAACAGAAACTAAGATCAATATTTTAAGAAAAAAATCACTCTAATAATGCTTACCCCATTTGAATTAGAATATGTATATTAAAATACTTAAATACTTACCCCATTTGAATTATAATCACTCTAATAATACTTAGGGTAAATTACATTAACACCTCCTGAGTTCGGTCCAATTACATCCCACCCCCTGACATTTTGAAAATTATATTCTCGCCCTTGTGATTAATAGTCTCATTTCACAAACTTCTTTGCTTATATAAAAGGTAAAAACTCTTAGTAGAAAAATAGAGGAGATTACATTAGAAAAAGAAAGTAAAGCAAAGGTAAGGGAAAAAAGAAAAAGAAAAAAAAAACAGAGGAAGTAAAGCAAAGCAAGAAAAGAGAGAGTGCATAAGTTTAATATCTTTATTTCGTCTGAATAATTACAATGAAAGAGGGGTTAGTGTAATCTCTCAAACGTCAGGGGGTGATATGTATTAAAAGCAAACCTCAAGGGGTGTAAGTGTAATTTATCATAATACTTATCCCATTTGAATTAGAATCTATATAGTAAGAGAAAATCATGGAAAATAATAAATATCTTATTTAAAATTTTACTCTTTTAAAATTATAGAAACTAATAAATATCCTACTTTCACACTTTCTTATAATGTGAAAATTGAAAAATAACGTAATAAAAAGTCTAAATGAAAATCAAAATATAATGTAAATGTTAACAGTAAACAAGAAAATATATAACTAACCTTAAAAAAAAAATTTAAAAAAAAAACTTAACAAAGTACAATGTGAATGTTCACAATAAAAAATAAATATATAACTAACATTTGAAAAAATAAAATTTATACCAAAATATAATATGAATGTTCAGAGTTTACAATAACATTCAATTACTCTTAAAAAAACTAAGTTCATACCACTGTGAACATTCACACAGTAAAGTGAAAACATAAAACAATATTGAAAAAATAAAAATCGACTATTTCGATTTTCAATGATAACAACAATGATTGATATGGTGTTTTTCCAGGAAACAAAAAAAAGCTTATATTTTAGAAAGTGAAGTTAGAGCTTTGTGGCGAAGGAGAAACATGGAATTTATGGCTGTGGATTCAGATGGGTTAGTACGGGGCCTGCTTCGCATTTGGGATCTAGATATTGTTAGTTGTTTGAATGTTGCAGTAATAGAAGATGTGTTCTTCTGTCAGGTACTTTGCTTAATTCTTTTGTTTGTGATATTTTAAATGTATATGCACCCAATGAGGTGAGTAATAAATGCAATTTTTGGGGTAACTTTGTCAAAGCTAAAATCCGATTTCCCAAAACCATGCTGTATGGGCACTACAAAAAATTAAGATTTTAGAGACTAAAATTTATGGATAAAATTATTTTTTAGGGACTAAATATTTTTGTTGCAAAAAATGTTATTATATTTTTAGCAACGAACATTGAACATTAGTGATGAATTATCCTTTTGGGACCAAATTTTTTGTTTCAAAAAATAAACTATTTTGAGACCAAAGTATTTTGTCCCTAAAAGTTTATTTATTAGTGATATTTTTGAAATTTTGTCGCTAAAAGCCTTGTTTTTTACTTTTTGAAACGGTCTTTTAGCGACTATCCTCACGACGATAGAAATTGGTCCCTAAATGTCTTTTACAACAAAATTTTCCCTTTTAGAGACTAAAAAATTTGATCTCTAAAACTCTTATATGTTGTAATGGGGTGATAACATCAGAAATATGGGTGAAAGAGTGGGCAGCTCCAAAAGGGATAAGGAGATGAAAGAGGTGAATAATTTCATTAAATGTG